ACATGGGCAGCAGTTGAGCGGTTACAACTGCCCTTGTCCAAAAGTGCTGAATATATGCTGAGTCTTTGCACGTTTTTGGATCATGTTCTAGCATGTTCTACACATTTTTTATCATGGGGATCATGTCCTATCAGTTGGGGGATGTCAACTGAACATAGGAAATAGTTTTGGGCTGACTACACTATATATATGTGTGTTAGCAGCCATAAAAACGGGCTATGTACCTAGGGAGGGAAATAGTCTGAAATATAGGCATAGGGTTGTCTATACTAAGGCTTGAGCATGGAAAAATATGTGCCATTGCCTTGCTAAACGAGTGGCATCACGAGCGGCCTTAGGCAGGGGATTTTATAGGGTAGATTCGTGCACTTGTTGGCATTTTTGTGAGTTGGTGCCTGCCAACGATGGCAGCACCTTGCCAAACTCGAGAATTTCCTTTGTAATTTATTTTATAAAAGGTTGGGAAAAGGGTTTCCCGTAAATCTGCTTGTTTCCTTTTAATTTATGCTGCCTTGAATTATTTCTAAGTGTTAAACCTCGAATGCGAAAGAAAATTGGGCGAAGGTTGATGTCAAGTGGGGACTTGACTGCCGCACAACGGGCAGTGTTTCGACGGAAAGAAAATGCCCCTGTGACACCCACCATTTATTATTTTGTAATAATGCTGCTTCGTCTTCTCGGTCATCTGATAGTGTATTATGTAGTTCATTATAAAAATAATAATTTTGTACCAAATTTATTTATGTTCAGGACTATGGTTTGCGATAATATAATGAATGTTATTGATAAAGGTTCTATTTGGTAATAGTTTTTAGAACTTGTGGATATAAGTCGTGTTTCATGTTTTTTTTTTAAAAAGAAAAAAAGTGAAATATGTTTTGAAAACTTATGGCCAAACACATTTTCATCTTCAAACCAAACTTCATTCAAATCAGAATTTTCAAAACAAATTTTAAAATCTATGGCCAAACGCTAGCTTAATGTTAACAAGTCCACTTTTTATCACGGAAGGATGTAGCGGAATGATAAAAATTTCTTCATCCTTAATCAATAGTCTGGGATTCAAATAACGAAAATAGAGCTCTCTTTAATAAGGGAATGCTTAAACCTTCCTGGGCTAGTAAATTTTGGACACCAAATGATTAAATTTGAAGAAAAAAAAGGTGCACTCACTATCCTTAAAAATTTAGCAATGCCTCATATGATGTTTTGTTGTAAAACAATAAAAGTAGAAGAACAATATTGCAGAGAAAGAGAGAGAGGGAATTCTTATTGAATTTTTGGGATGAATTACAATAGAATAGAACCCTCTATTTATAGGGACAGGGTGGCTTAGCCACCAAGCAATGAACCCTAGAATCTCTCTAAATATAGTCATTCACCATAAATATAATTATATTAATAACACTCCCCCTTGAATGTCTATTCAACAGATAACGTGCCTCGTTAAAACCTTAACTAAAATAAAACCCAATGGAAAAAAATTCTAGAAAAGGAAAAAGAGCACACATATCTAACAATACGCCTTTTGGTTGCCTCGTTAAAAACCTTGCAAGGAAAACCCAGTGGGACAAACCTTGTAAGGGAAAAAAAGTACAACGCGTATTAACTCCCCCTCATGAGAGCATTAATTCACATCCTTAAGCATTTGCATTCCAATCTTGTGCACCATCTTCAAAAGATCTTTGGTAGAGATTTGATGAACAAATCAGCCATATTAACTTGAATGAATATATTGCACCTTGAAATCATCATTCTTGATAGAGATGAATTATCTTCATATGATCTTGTTGGAATCGTCAGTTCAATATCTTCACATAGAGGTGGAAACTCTTGCTATCATATTATCATGCTTATAGTAATAGCAAGATACATTTGTGCACAAATTGCATTGAGGAAGTGGTACTTCAAGATCAAGAATTGTATATGCTTCAAGCGATTTAAATCCTTCATGGATTGTCATATAAGTCATATAATAGACTTTAATTAGATACATATTAAGTTTTCATGTCATGCTAGACAAATAAGATATTGAAAACTGATTGCACATATCATTGGCTTCATACTTTCAAGTGTTTGAACTACATGTTCAAAACTACATGTCTTTCATATTGTTTCTTCAGACTTAAGATCCTCATATATATGTTTAGCGATATCATAGATGTCGTCGACAAGCATTTTATATCAGTTTCAATATTTTTTCATAAACACATAACATAGAGATCTCTTCATTCATATTTTCAGGTACCTGAATCTCTCTTGAGATTTTATGAAGTGTTATGTCATGTGATCTTCTAGATCACTTGCCTCCTTTATTATGATCATTTAGATCATTTGCTCATCTTCTTTATCAAGAAGTTGATTTGAAACCGATTTGTATATACGCTTTAACGTACCATAGACTCTGTCCTTCTAGGACTTATTCTAATAGGAGCATTTGCAGTGAGAATATAGTTACTTTCTTTGAGTCAGCAAATGCGTCTGGCATGCTTTGCAATAAATTGCACATGAATTATCCTTTTATGAAGTTCAAGTTCATATTATTTTATTCGAGGATCTAGATGTACACATGCTAATTCATTCCACGTAACTTTTTCTCAACTGTTTATCATGTCTCCCCCTCATGTTAGAAAAACTAACTGGTTTCCTCAACTTTAAGAACTCATCTTAGTGCGCTATGGTGTTAATTAAAATATACACCGCACATCAATAATAATAAGATGGAATTATTTGGTTCCTGACGCTGAACCACTTGTGAGGGGAGAAAATAATATACTTTCGTATATAACGTATATCAAACTGATATAGATAACTTTGTTCTCATAAGCAATAGTTTAGCTATTAAGTGGAGGCACTCAATAAATTATTTTTCTAAACCAACTGTGATGCAAACCAACTTATCAAGAAGAACTATCTTGAATAAAAAATCTGGAAATTATGCTCTATATTAAATTATTGAGCAAGTTACCTCGCAAACACCAGGTTGCGGGTCAATAATAATTGCACATGTAACCATCTCATAGATGCATCTTATGTGGTATACATGGTAGGTGAATGGGCCCATATTCACCTTTGATATTTCCAGCATTCTTGGGATTCAATCCCAATTTTAGTTGGTATATTAATTAATGAGAGCAAGCAGCATAAGAGAATTTGTAAAGAACTTTCAAGTTCTTTAATATTTACCCATGTGAATTCTCTTTTATTTTTGCACATCATACTTAAATTGATATGGGTAAACCAATTATGCCAACTGAAGAAATTATCAATATTGATAAACTTCAGATTTACACTATGACGTGTGCAATTATCAATAAACTCCAAGTTTATTATGATATGGGTTTTTATATCAATAAATATCCACTTCATTGTGGTATTCTTTTGCTTATGTAGTACAAATTGGAGAATATAGCGGGTAGCTTATCACATACATATTACCCCGCTACAAGTTGTGGTAATAGAAGATATTAAATATTTCCTTTATTTATAGTCTCAATATAATCAACCGCTTTCGCGTATACTTTGGAAACTGAATAAGTTTCTTTGAGACTTACTACAACACAATACCTTATTGGTAATTAATTGTGTTTCTCCAAAATAGTATAATTGGCTCTTGTAGAGTTCTCAATTAATTTTGTAGTACCACATATTCATCAATACCCATATGGCGAATATCTCTTTTAAAGAAAAAGTTATACCATTATGGTTATGGTCAAAATTATATGCAAGATCTGTTTCTTGCATTACCGTTGTCTTTTAACAATCACAATGCCAAAATATTTTGGCGTACAATAGGTACGTGACCAATGACCATTCATACCATAATAATGACATTATTTTCTTATATCATCTCAAACCTCCTTTTAGAGGTGAGTACGATATATTCACTACCACTAGCACGTTCATATTCTTTGAAGAATGAATATGTATTCATAAATCAGATGTTGTCACATTCGCATCATGAACGGACCATAATCATCTATATGTGCTTTACAAAATCTCATGTCAAATCGATGACAAATATTTTTCACAAAGTGAAAGATTATTTTGAGAATCCTTATTGTTCTCATTATCACAATGATGACGATTATAATTTCGTCTATTGCCACGTCCACATCCATTGATACATTGATAGTATTGTCTTCTTTCAGACTTATCACATACTGCTATCACATTCTCTTATGGCAATGAGAATGGAGCAAATTCAATGGGACGGGTTTTCAATTCTTTGCCCACAATCATACATGAATTTGATCATGGCAAGACAGAGAAATTTTACCAATTCGAGTGGTTATAATTTCTTATAAACTCTATCAGAGTTATAATCAAACTTTGTTGTCTTCGCTTGTATATAAAATCAAATTATAGAATTCAAGAATTTAAAAGAAAAAAATAAGGTAAAATACTTACCTTCAACCCAGAATTTATTCCTGAAGGAAGTTCATGGAACAATTGACAATCATTATGCTCAATCCCAAAGCTTCTACTCAATTGGTTAGAGTCTCGTGCTGATAACGTGTTATAAAACAATAAAAGTAGAAGAACAATATTGCAGAGAAAGAGAGAGAGGGAATTCTTATTGAATTTTTGGGATGAATTACAATAGAATAGAACCCTCTATTTATAGGGAGAGGGTGGCTTAGCCACCAAGCAATGAACCCTAGAATCTCTCTAAATATAGACATTCACCATAAATATAATTGTATTTATAACATGTTTAAAGTTTTTCTTGAAGTTAATTTAATTATGGTATGAACACCTAATTTGAATAATCTTTTATTTTTGTCTAGATCCGCTATGTATGCTATCACCGACACCCTTACGGGCCAAGTCCTTTTTCTTTATTCTTTTTGCTAGTTCCACTTCTCCATTTTAAAATTAAATTCCTGTCTCAAAATCTTTCCCTCCCTATTTTTACAGCTATGAGTAACTGAGGTCCACTTGCTCATAAGTTACTCACTTAAATTTTACTATTCTATACACCACTTATAAATATAACATTGTCTTCATTTTCATGTTCACTTTAATTCCCTTCTACTCCCAACTCATCAGAAATTCAAGAAGACGAAAAAATGCCACTAAAACTAGCAGTAGCTGTGTTTTTAGTGGCACTATTAGTTGTGAATACAGTAGCAGAGAGTCCTTACAGATTCTATGAGTTTAATGTTACTTATGGCACCATTTCTCCTCTTGGTGTTCAACAAAAGGTTGGTTTCTTTTTATCTTTTTGTTTTCAATAATGTGAAATAGATTATTGTCCTTTTTTGGACCTTGTTTTCTAGGGTTTGTAAGTGATCATTTATCGTACAGTAATCTGTGTTTCTTTTTTGAGCATAGGGAATTCTGATCAATGGCCAATTTCCTGGTCCTGACATTTACTCTGTTACTAATGACAATGTTATTATCAACGTCTTCAACAACTTGGATGAGCCTTTTCTTATTTCATGGTAATTTACCTTTACAATCCCTTCCATATGATCTTTCTTTATGCCTCATTTCCATATATGTACTTTTAGAAGTTTGGCATTTTAATTTATTTAGGCTCTATATCTTGGATATGTGTTCATTCATTTACTGGTCGAAAAATTTAAATACTGCATTATCTTGAGAAAACTAGTTGGACTTGCATGTATAATGTCATGTTATATTGTTGAAATAATTAATGGCGATTCATTAACACTCCATTTCACAAAAATTGAAGTCCTTACGTTTGATCCTTGTGAATCCCTGCCCCTCTTCCCCTTCAATGTGTTAAAATTAAATCGTTTCAAAATGTAAAAATATATTATTTTTTAAATGAACCTTTAAGAAAAAGTGTCGTAACATGCAAAGAGAGTATTAAATTTATACGCCACACATAAGTTTAGTGATTTTTTACAGCTGGTTTTAGTTCGCTTATCTAGCTTTTTCTTTAACTAACTTTGAGCTATTTTACTATTATATTGTAACCATAAGATTTATCAACTTATTTGCAATTAATCCGTTGGAAAACAATGTAACAGTGTTTTGATCCCAGGGGTGTGGAAATTAGCAATCAATACTAGTTTGAATTGTTTCTCTCAATATTTGAAAGTCACATGGTTTGTTTGTACGAATACTCAAATGTTTGAAACACCAGACTAGAGTAGGTAAATCATGTGACAAGCATGTGAAAGATAGTTTAGTCATTATGTACTTCTTCCTCTTGTGTCTTTGCATGTGAACGACATAAGTATAAGAGCCGAAAGCAAAATGTTATATGTGTCGACATTTTCAGTTGAGTCCCCGATATTTAGTTTCAAATAACTGCACTAAAGAAAGATAATAATAATAATAATAATAATAACAGCACTAACTGGAAAGCGTCAAATTTGCACTTGGATTCCTAATGGAGCTCTAATCTGAAAGTGATTTAAACTGTAGTCAAAAGTTGAGCCGTAAATATAGATCTTTTCTCTACGTGAAGTCCACTCATTTACGTTGAAGCTCTATCATTAATAATGGCAAATACGAGACAATTTCCCAACAGTAAAGACATGATAATATTAAAAGTTTAAGTCAATGCAACATCGAGCAATTTCTAATAATACATGATAACATGAACAAAGTTAGAAGTTTTTCCTTCCTTTAATTTCTTGCATTTGTTTCTGAAATATATATAGGAATGGGATTCAAAATAGGAGAAACTCATTCGAAGACGGAGTATGGGGAACGACGTGCCCAATACCACCAGGGAAGAATTTCACATACGTTTTGCAAGTGAAGGATCAAATAGGGAGCTTCTACTATTTTCCTTCAACTGCATTTCACAAAGCTGCAGGTGGTTTTGGAGGATTCAGGATCCTCAGCAGGCCTGGAATTCCTGTTCCTTTCCCTGAACCTGCTGGCGATTTCACCCTCCTTATTGGTGACTGGTACAAGAGCAATCACACGGTACGCTACTATATTATTCTCGTTAATAACTTGAGTTTTGTTCACTGACAGTATAAATGAATTTTACAGGCTCAATGACATTTGATTAATGAGAAAAGCTAGATGCTTAACTGTGGAAAATCTTAATCGCTCGTCTTGTTTTGATGATCTGTTCTTATAGTTACCGGTTACTCCATTTATGCAGTACTTGAAATCAATTCTTGACAGAAACCACAAGTTGCCTTTTGTTGATGGCATTCTTATCAATGGTCAAGGCCGTAATGGTGCTTCCTTCACAGTTGAGCAAGGTAAAACAATTGCGTATAACAGAGTTTGAAAAGAAACATCGTTTTAATATTCTTGACAGATAGTTTTCTCTGATGATCTAACAATGAGTATCTCTTACAGGGAAAACTTATAGATTGAGGATATGCAATGTTGGATTGGAACATTCACTCAACTTCCGAATCCAAGATCATAAAATGACATTGGTGGAAGTAGAGGGTACACACACAATGCAAGAGATTTATTCCTCCCTTGATGTTCATGTTGGACAATGCTACTCTGTCCTCTTCACAGCTGATAAACCTCCTAAGGATTATTACATCGTTGCTTCAAATCGTTTCTCGTCTATTCTTATTGATACCACTGCTGTACTTCACTACAGCAACTCTAACCAGCAAGTCTCCGGCTTCCCCCCTGGTGGTCCGACCATTGAAATTGGTTGGTCGCTTAACCAGGCACGTTCTATCAGGTATCGTCACTTGCTTTCACCTCTTCGCTACTCATATTTGCTCTTTGTCAATAATTTCTTTTTTTGGGTTGATCATATCATACACTTGTAGCGTGGTATTCATATTCATTTTTTTTTTGTGTCTTAGGACCAACTTATCGGCTAGTGGACCAAGGCCAAACCCACAAGGATCATACCATTATGGTATGATCAACACAACTAGAACTATCAGACTTGCAAACTCTGCTGGACAAGTCAATGGAAAGCAGAGATATGCTGTCAACAGTGTGTCCTTTGTGCCAACCGATACTCCGCTCAAGCTTGCTGACTACTTCAAGATTGGAGGATTTACTGTAGGAAACATACCTGATGCCCCGCCCGGTGGAGGAATTCACCTCGATACATCTGTTTTGCAAACTGACTATAGGACATTCATTGAGATTGTATTCGAGAACAAGGAGGGGATCGTGCAGAGTTGGCATCTTAATGGCTATGCTTTCTGGGTAGTAGGGTAAGCTGTTTATGAAGAGAAACAACACAAGATGTTTCTAATATCATGACCTAAATGTTATGCACTTGTATTCTTTCTTAATTTACTTCTCTTGATATTGTTAATGCAGTATGGACGGAGGAAAATGGACTCCGGCTAGTAGGAACCAATACAATCTCCGCGATGCAGTTTCGCGAAGCACAACTCAGGTAAGATAGAAGGAAAAACATATGATGTAACTTTGTTCCAACATTAATGAGAAAGAAAATTAACATGAGAAAATGTTGGAAAAATGCAGGTGTATCCCAAGTCATGGACGGCAATATTAATTGCATTGGACAATGTGGGAATGTGGAACCTTAGGTCTGAGTTTTGGGCTCGACAGTATCTTGGACAGCAGTTATACATGAATGTATACACAGAATCAACCTCTTTGCGAGATGTATATCCCATTCCAATAAACGCTCTTCTATGTGGCAAAGTGGCTGGCCGGCATAAAAGACCGCTTTAAGCTAAGCTGCAAATCATGAAATCATTCTGCTGCTATACTTTTTCTTGCCATCAAGCTGAGGCAAAGTGAAAAAGAGAAGAATTTGACTTACATTTGATTCTTGTGTTATGTTATACACAGGCTCTGAGAGCAAAGTTAGGATAAAGTAATAGCTTATTACTGCCCCTATTAGTTTACCACAACTAGTTTGAATGACCTCAACTCAAGGTCCCATTCTTTCTTTGTTTCCACTAAACATTGTTATTCTGTTCTATCTTCATTGTTTTACTTGTCTTGAATAACAATAAACGAATTGCTGTTTGTTTTCATATCTAGGAGCAGAAATTCATGTTTTTTATGTTTACTTCTGCTTACCCTTAAATGGACTACAATTAAAATTTGTACGCGATTTTAAGGATACGTGAATTGATTCAACACAAATAATCAAAGATATTAGATAAACGAGTGAAAGGCAAAATGAGTAATCAAACCAGTTGTAATATTATGGCCCAGCTTGAACTTGGGTTAGGCAAAAGTTTTGTCCTCGATCGGACCCTCGGTTCGGAGCCAATAGAGAATGAATAACAAACAGTAAAATAATAGTTTTGCTATAGCTAGAGAGCAATAAAAAGGAAATTGTATTGCCTTGGTTTGCGTGTTAAAATGTGTTCTATTAAATAAAAAGCTTCCCCTTTATATAGTAGGAGAGTTTCATCCCTAGTACAATTCTAAAACAAAGGTAAAAATCCTCCTTTCTCGTCAATTATTGATCTGTTACCGAGATCGAGCGAGATTTGCACCGTGATATCCGGCCGGGTGCGGATATCACGGCCCACTGTTAGTCGTGTACAACCATTTGCCATGTTTTCCGAGGTCTTGGAGCTCGTTCTGGGTTCAAGGAGTGTTGTCTTATCGGGCCCGATGGTGAGCACTCCGTTCGGGCTTTGATACAAAGAGTTTCCAGCTTCGATTCGATCTCATATATTCATACTCTTACTTCGTTTGATCCTCCAAGAAATCGGGGTGTGCGTTAACCCCGATTTCACCCGTATACAGATAGTCCCTCGTTTTCCAGAGAGTAGGTTTGCCGAAATGATGGAAAAGGATAGATGAATCCCGGTTCCTTCCTTCGTACATTACAAACGAGGTGACGGACAAGCCGAAATATCCCGCCACTCGCGTCGTTCTGACTTCGAACGCGTGTCGGTCATCAGTTGGTTGTCTTCGAATGCGAAACGTCGCGTAATGATTGCATTTTCCCCTATAAAAGCTTCAACCCTCTTCACTTTTTTCACTTTCTAATCCTAGCTCTTACATTCGAACTTTATAACGGCTTTCAACTTCTGAAATCTTCATGCCTCACTTCTTGAACCTTCACTTCTTCATCTCTAACCTTCAAATCTTCACGTTTTTTCTTGGATTTTCAATCCAGAACTTCATATCTTCATTTCTAACCTTCAAATCTTCATACACCTTCATCAAATCTTCATATATTTCTCAGATTCACGATGGCCAAAACTTCCAAGTCTTTACCACAGCAAGCGGCCCCTTTATCTTCCCACCCGGCCGCAGACGTCGGGTGGATGCTCCCTCGCTAGATCTAGAGCCTCCTACGAAAAGCTTCATACCCGGGGATGTTCTATCGAGATGACTTTAAGGTCGAGAAGGCCTCCGTCAAACAAGATCAAGGTGAAGGAGCATGGAGATACATATGCTCCGTTACTGAAGATACCCTTCCCATAGTCCGAGAGGAGTGTAAATGGGAAGGCAAGGACGTGGTTGTCCCCAGGCCTTAGGATGATTTATACTACCCACGTGGAAGGGGTATTTAAGTGTTTACACTTACCCATTTATGCTGGGCCCGAAAGACCCATTAATCCTGGCCTTTTGTAAGAGGTACGAGATGTGCCTCGGGCAAATCCACCCGTCCCTCTAAAGGATCGTGATCCTCCTACGCTATTTTGTGAACAACACCAAATCTCCTTGGTTAACCCTCGACCATCTACGTTGTCTGTACAGTCCTCAAATTTCCCGAGGAGGACTAATCAAGATTTATTTTCGAGCCAGCAAGGCCCCTTTTTTCGAGCATCGACGAGGATCGAGATCGAGGTTGGCAGGGGCGGGTAAAAACTGAAGACTTGATCCTCCCCGAGTTCCTTCCATTCCCCGAGAAGTGGAATGCATCTCGTAAGTGTAGTCTTTCCTTAAGTGTCAATTTCCTTTTATTTCTTCTCTCATCGGTAGTATTTATGGTCGCACAGCTAGTTCACGAGTTCCTAATGCGATCCCCTGACTCAAGGAATGGATCGAAGGAATCTGCAAGCAGATGTCATACCATGAGCGAATGTGGCGCAAAATTTCGATGGGCAAATGAGAGGCCCGTTCTCATGGTAAGGCTCTCCCCTAAATAGTTATTACTGCGCCCAAGCTTACACAATGTTGACCTTCTTCTTTCCCTCGTAGGTTTCCCTAAGACCACCGAACTTAGGCCGCTGGACGGGTACGAGGATACGTTCTTACCCATCGAACCCTCCGTTTAGGGATAGCCCGGGGCTACCGCGGAGGAGAAGAAGAGGAAAAGAAAGTCCTCGGGTTCCTCGAATCCCGAGGTGAAGATAAAAAAGAGGGCGGCCACCCGGGCTCTTAAGCCCAAGAAGAATACTAAGTACGAGGTACCGGACTCTGACTTCCTTCACCGACTCAAGGATGAGCCTGAAGAAGACTACATCTTTGTCGCCCATGGATCAACCCCTGCTGGGGAGCAGGCGACAATCGAGGAAAGGGACCACGAGGCTGATCCCCTTCTGATTCGAGAGGCCGAAGTGGAGACGGAGGCTGTGACCTCCCAAGAAGCCATTCCTATTCTGACGGAGGCGACCTATGTGATAGATGTCATCGAGATGCCCTCCTATACCGAGTCCATGCTTGAAGAGGCCCAAGCGGGTAAGGAAAAGTCAAGTGAAGGAGTTCGGGGTGCAGATAATCCTCTCCAACCCTTCTTTGTTGGCATGGACATGTCCACATTGGAAGATTTCTCCGGGTTGGATCACCTGGAGATCCCGAAGAAGGATGTGCCTTCGGGAGCTAATGGGCCGAGTACGAGCCTAAGATTGGTGAAGCAATTTCCTGCGCCGAGTGTGGACCCCAAGCGCAAGAGGACGGTTGTTCTCTCAGTCCCGGAGGATGCCCGGATCCTGTCTGCTTCGGTAGGTGTAGCCAGCCACCTCCGATGCCTGGTGACTGAGGAGGACCAGGAAAAGATGAACGAGGTGAGCACGTCAAGTCTCTTTAACGAAGCGCAACAGGCTCTGAACCGTGTAAGGCTCTAACACTTTCATACTCCCTTCATGAATGCGGCTTAAGTTTTCCTTTGATATCTCTTACTAGTTCCACTGTTTTGCAGGCTTTATTGCTTCATCATGAAAGCTACCTCCAGTACGGCTTGGAAATCAGCTAGCTTGAGTTCGATCTCAAAGAATAGGTCCGGAAGAAGGACATGTACAGGCTTCTCAATGTGCAACAGGACGAGGCCCTCAAAGACCTCCAGGCCGAGCTGGACAAAGCTCAAAAGGAGGCCTCGATGCTGAAGAGGGAACATGCTGACCAGCTTGAAAATGTAAAGGTCTTTGAAGCTAAAAACGAGGAGCAAGTCGTGGTGAATAACAACACAACCTCGCAGGTTCAACAGAAGATCGACCTGATCAACCAGCTCCAAGCCGAGATAAACGAGGTCATGGCCATGCCGAAGGGTGGAAGGGCAGGATGGACCTACCGGCTTTGGAGAAGGAAAATGTGAAGGCAGAGCTGGCTTTGGTTGAGAACCAACTCGGGGTGGTGAATGACAAAGCTGATAAGTGGTCTCAACTAAATGATTATCTTCGAGCAGAGCTGAACTCGGCCGTCGTAGAACGGGATACTCTTGGAAGAGAATATGAGGCCCTGAAGTCCAAGTTGGACACAACCTCCGCTGATGCCGAAGAAATGGTAGCCCAGTACAAAGCCAATGTGGAGGCAGCTGAGACCCGCCTAAAAACAAAGGCTGAATACGTGAAGCGGCTGTCCCGAAGAGAGACCCTCGAAGAGATCCACGCCCGTGGTTTCTACCTATCTGCCTAGATCGATGAAGCTAAGAAGCTGGAGGCTGAGGCAAAAGAGCTCTACGAGCTTGAGGGTGCCGAAGGCTCCGAGGGTTCCGAGAGATCTGAAGGCTCCGACGGTTCCGGTGACGAGTGGGGCCCTGGTGAAAACTAGGCGTAGATGCCTTTGTACCTTTTCAGTTTTTGTTTTTCCTTATGTATATATTTTTTTTGTTTATTTTGAGGCCTTTATATATATATATATATATATATATATATATATATATATATATATATATTGTGTCTAACAACAGAAAAATATATTTTTACAGCTAAGTGGAGGCAAAAATTAAAAGAAAAGGAAATCATTATATTCGGTACTTCACAAACTGCATGTCCACTCTGAAATTATAGGCTAATTCCTGTCTAAGAGTAAATAAATGGCATCTGTATTAATGCAAATATAGAAAGTACGTTGAAACTTACTTCTCTTGGAAAAGCTTTTCAAGAAAACGGAAAAGAAAAAAGGAGAAAGAGTTGTTATATTTTGGGAATCTTTTCTTTTCTTTTTAAAGAGCATAACACCTTGATTACAAAAGAAGATAGGTGACAATACAATAAAGTTGGATGTTTATGTCTACCTCTTTATAGTTTCTTGGTATGTACTTCACCCACCCATGCCCAAGGGGCGTATTCAAGTTGTGGGTTCATCTGAATCCATAACTTTGGCCATATATGTGATAAAAATTCACTAAATATATCAAAAAATAGATTTTGAACCTAGTAAATTAGATGGATGTGGTGGAATTACAAATATAAACCTACAAAATTCATTCCTGAATCCGTCTCTGCCCCGTACATCTCTTTTCCAACGAATTTAATTTTTGTTGAAACCAAGATACCCGAATTTTAAAAGTAAAATAGAAATTGTATAATGCTAATATATATCTTCTCTACCATTATCAAATTATAAAACGCAAGATATACCATATGGTATTGATGAGTAAAAATTTAGGAGATTAATTTTGTACAAATTAAGGACTGTAATTCTCACCTCATCTAGTAGCTAAAGAATTACTCCGTCTCAAATTTGGACATTATGCCCCAACTTCAGCTACAAATTAATCCTATCAGCAACTCTAAACATCACACCAACTAAAATCAACCAACTCTAACGATAAAAGTTTAATTGCTCCAGCACACTGTTTAACCTAGGCTGCATTGCTGCTCTTCTTCTTGACGAATTATTGTTA